ATCAATAAAGTAGTCCATGGTGCACAGCACGACTTCGCTCTCGTTGCACCAGGTACAGATAAATTTTCGCTTCCTGTTTCTTCATTCTGTGTGCTTGCAAATAACGCACTCACGTACACCCTTGGCTTTAGTACTGTACTTGTAGGTTGTATGTAGCCAAGCTTGTAAAGCATAAGGTAGTATTGAAAAGATTATAGGAAAAGATCAATTTGAAAGATAGTCTTGAAAAGATCGCTTTGTATGGTCCCACACAGGAAGAGATTCAGCTTGCCTCAAAGAGTGTCCGTCAGTCAGAAAGAGATTCAGCTAGCCTCAAAGAGTGTCCATCAGTTAGGAAGAGATTCAGGTATTCTTGAAAATATCTATTGAAAACACCACCATGGAAGCTGCTAACACTGTTTATCTATGCTACTTGTATCAGATGCATCATTGAACATAGAAAACGATTAATCTATGTATCATCTAAATATATTGGGGATAGCATAGGATTGCAAGAGTGACGCTCAGAGTTACAACTGGATGCGCTCGCTGTATCGTCCTCATAGGTGCTGTATCACTTGCATCCGACCTTTGTGTTAGGTCCTTATTGCACCCAGCTTCACCAATATTATGACCCTTATGTTCTTCAAACAATATGGTTTGAATTTCACCGACAGAGCATTATCTTTCAACACCGCATCAGACAGGTATTTGGGAGCCAGAGGCGCGTGCGCCACCCATGGTTGCTCATTCAGTACTAACACAGCCAGCAGTCCTAGGGCATTCTGGGAATTTTTTCCAAGATGGCTGCTTCTCACTGGAGGTCCTAAGAGTCCATTTCGTACACAACCAACTTCGCACACATTTAGAATGGGTACGGAAAAAAAAAAAAAAAGAGTTTTCTCGGTTGGCGCAGTTTCCCGTTGACCGAGAATACTCGGCTGGCGCAGTTAAGTGGTTAAAGAATTCGGATAGAGAGAGAGATCCAGGAGTGGTTCTAGATAGAAAACTATCACCTGAGGACCAAATAAAGAACATTGCGCGAGAACCCTATGCTACACTTTCTAATTTTCAATTTCAAAACAATTTTCAATTTCTAAAAGAATTGCTTTTAAATACATACATGGATGGTGAAATACTAAAGAAATTGTTCACGATTTTTGTTAGACCAAAGCTGGAATATGCAGTGGTTGTATGGTGCCCATATCTTAAGAAGCACATCAACAAACTGGAAAAGGTGAAAGACATGCAACTAAATGGCTCCCAGAACTGAAGGACAAGAGCTACGAGGAGAGGTTAGAGGCATTAAATATGCCAAAACTAGAAGATAGAAGAAAAAGAGGCGATATGATCACAACGTACAAAATAGTAACAGGAATCGATAAAATTGATAGGGAAGAATTCCTGAGACCTGGAACTTCAAGAACAAGAGGTCATAGATTTAAACTAACGGAACAAAGCTGCCGGAAAAACATAAGAAATTTCACTTTCGCAAACAGAGTGGTAGACGGTTGGAACAAGTTAGGCAAGAAGTTGATGGAGGTCAAAATTGTCAGTACAGTAATTTCAAAGTGTTACATGACAAAGAGTGCTGGGAAGACGGGACACCATGAGCGTAGCTCTCATCCTGTAACTACACCTAGGAGCTAAAGAGAACCCCACACCCTGTAACCCCAAGCCATGCTCCGAGGGTTAAAAAACCCAAGCAGAGTCCAACGGGACCCAAGGCCCCCAAGTCAACCCTTTTCCCTGCCCAGGAACCTCATCCCGAGGATGTGGGGCCGAGCCGTCCTCCACAACCCCCTGCCTCTAAAGAAAAGGCAGGAGCAACTGAAAAAGCGGGAATGGGGCCCACTGGTCAGACCCAGAAGCTCCAGCTGGAGGACCTGGCTCGAATGCTTCCGCCGCCACCCCCAGGTGGGGACTCCCTCGAGACTGCCCGAGTGTCAACACCAACTAAATCCTGCCCTGACTCCGAAACCTTCAGAGGGGCAGAGCCAGAAGCAAGGGGGGAGGGACGGGATGAACAACAGAAGGGAAAGGTAGGGAGGACAGAATCAGAGCTGAAGCGACTCCCAACCCCCAAGTCCAGGTCCCTAAAACCAAAACGGGGCAGTATCGTGGCATCCGGGTGAGCAACTAACCTAGTGCATTGCAGCAACCTAAACCTAGCATGGAACGCAGCTGCCACCTGCACCCTCATATTATGATCAATAGCTTGGATGAACTGGAGCACGTACAGGCAACAAACATCACACGACTCTGGGTCAAAAGAATCACCGCCCCAGCAGTCAGCATGGCAGAAGCACAACCAATGATTGTCCCCCAGAGACAAGGGAACAGAACAACCTTCTGACTCACATGAAGCGAGAGAAGACTCAAGGGTCACATCCATTGGACCACGGAGCCCCCGCGGGGTTTCCCAGGGATTAATTATTACACTAAGGGAAGCCCATGCAGAGCTGGCGTGTTACTGGTGCCCAACACGCTGTGAACCGGCACCCAAGACTACCAAACAATCTGCTAATAGCTGAATCCTTGGGATGTGTCCACTCATGGGGGCCTAGCAAGGGGTACCACCAAACACACAAAAACTGAGAATAGATATAATGATAGATATATACACCCCACCAAGGCAGACCCCCCTCACCAGGCAGAAAACAAAAGCAAAACCCCACAAGAAGACAATGTACCCAGGTGGAACAGAGCTGGTAGCTGTAAGAGGTGAAAACTAGCTGTGCAGTACCCCGCTCCCCTACCAGTGACGAATACTACCCCTACCCAGAGGCAAACACGGGCAACAAAAACCCCAGCTGACTCCAAGGGCGGCCAAGTACTGAGCAGTAAAACACACAGCTGGGGTAGATCCCGAAGTGACTCGTGGAAGGTGGCTCCAAGCACCAAGGGTAGTACTTACAGGGCACCTAGGGAAGGTGGCTCTAGGCGCATGCAGCCCGAGCACTGAAGAATATTACTCCTGGCTCGCATACCACCAGTAGAGACAGTCCACACCCAAGGCACAGAAACTGAGACAAATCGCTGGAGCCAGAAGCACAAGACCACGCCAGTAGCACATCAGGCTGAGAACTGCAGGGTGGATCGCTGGCATGGGGGTCTGGGGCTCTACCTTACCCCCTCCCGGAGAGGGGGGTGTTGCACAGACAGAGGCGTGGCGACGTGATGATGTCATGCTCATTTGCTAATTTTCGTTGGGGAAGTTCTGTCCACTCGTTCTGCTTTCAGTAGCAATATTTTCACCAGAATAGGGGTTTGTTTTGGGGCGCCTATCTTTCTGGGTGCCAGACCCAATCGATTGCAGACACAGAAAACTCCCAACCAAACGAGGGTTTCTATAGGCCTTTACTCCTCGTGCTTCTCTGAGGGGGCCAGGTTTTGGCTCGTGGTTCCCGGTAGGCATGAACTCCATGCCCTTTAATGCCAGAAAGCTAACAGTTACTAAAGCTAACAGATTCCCCCCAGAAATGGCATAGAAAACCTAAGAGCCAGGGCCCAAGCAGATTCCAAGGATTGAGCAAGCACCACCTGAAGGCACGCGAGACGAGAAGCAAAGAACAGTCACGGCCTCCCTCAGGATTGGGGAAAACAGCTTCAACAGGGCAGCCGACGCTCGCACCATCGAGACCAGTGCACCAGACCTAGGATCAGTACCCAGCGCCTCCACATCCTCCTCAAGTCAGTCCGAAGACAGCTTGAGAAGGAAAAAGAAACAAAGGACCGATGACAAATGGTCATGGGCACACAAGTCCTCAGCTACTAGAGTTGCCAAAAGGGAGGGGGGGCAGCTGCGCAGACAGCGGTGTAGTGACGGTTATAACATCTTACTCGTTTGATCGTTTTTCATTTGGGAAGTTCTGCTTAACAGTTCAGCTGTCAGTAGCAATTTTTTAACCAGATTAGGGTTTGTTTTGGGGTACCTACCTTTCTGTGTGCCTGACCCGGTCGATGGCAGACATAGAATGCTTCCAACCACATGGGGGTTTCTATAGGCCATTCCTTCTCGTGCCTCTCTGAGGGAGCCAGGTTCTGGCTCGTGGTCCCCAGTAGGTAGAACTCCATTCGCTTTGACTGATGCCATGGTCTAATACATTTATATCAGCCCGGATAACTCTGGGAAGCCGAAGGGGCTCCCTCCCCCCCCCAGAAAGAAAAGAAAAACCCTGCAAAAGTACAATGTCCCCAGAAGAAACAGGAAGCGGCTGCTGTGTAAGTAAGCTGGCTGCACAACACCTTGATGCCCCCAACTACTAACAATATCACACTCTACCCAAGGCCAAACAAGGGCCACGAAATGCCAGCTGGCCCCAAGGGCAGGGTAAATGCAGAGCAGCAAAAACCCCTACGGAAATAGCATCACGAACGCACCAGGCAAGAGAACCCTAGCACGCAGGGGTGGTACTCACAGGGCACTCAGGGAAGGTCACCCTGAGCACATGCAGCCACCAGAACACTTGGTAACACCTGGCCACCACGCCTCAACACTGCAGAGAACATCACTAAGGCAAAACACTGCTTGGAAATCACGGCCAGAGTCGACAACCGCCCTATATTGCAATAGCCAACACACCGAGGTTGCTGGGTAGCTGGCGTGGAGGGTGCAGGGCTCCCCCCTCCCAGGGGAGGGGCTGCCAGGACAAGCGGCACGGCGGCGGTGTGTGACGTTTGATTGTTTCTTTGGGAATTGGTGGAGTTCTGCCTCTCTGTTCAGTTTTCGGTTGTAATTTTCTTACCATGTGGGGTCTATTTTGTTATGCCTACCTTTCTGGGTGCCTAACCCCGGTCGATGGCAGATTAGGAAAGCCCCAACCACAGGAGGGTTTTAAGAGGCCATTGCTTCCAGTGCCTCTCTGAGGGGACCAGGTTCTGGCTCGTAGTCCCCGGTAGGCTGAACTCTATTAACTATTGCCCTACTCTAATATATTGCATATCAGCCTGATAGCTCCAGGGAGCCGAAGGACTCCCCACAGAAATAAGACATATAAGAAGTATTAAATTGAACTTGCTTGAGTGTTTTTCAGATGGTAACCGTAGGAGATATACTTGAAATGGCTGTGGATTCAAGATAGGAGCGGGAACAATTCTGCTTTCATCTGGGTTAGACAACATGGCATCTACAAGAGAAAGCGTCAGGTTGGAGTTTGATTCAGTATAGATCCCAGATCGATGTCCACAGTCCTGGGTTTCTTCTGACTTTTCAAACTGTAAGAATATAACAGAGCATAAGGCAATTTATAGTAATACTGTATAATTATTCTTACTTATTAAGTAACATGGTGTACATAAATAGCATATTATACACCTAAAAGTCTACCAACTTATTAATAGCAGATTTGAAAGTTTTAAGTAGATATGGAGCTGTCTTGTATGGGTCTTCTGCAGTTTCAATAAACCTTCTGAATTTCAGTAATTCTTATGGAAACAAATGCAAGGGGAAAATATGATTTTTAAAGCTGCTCTTTGGTAGGCTCAGAACCTTTTAGTAGAGGTGCGGAGGTTCATATAATATATATATATATATATATATATATATATATATATATATATATATTTTATTAAATATGACCGAAAAAGTAAGATTAATAATTCTAACACGAATTTTCTCAATCTTTCGTACATTATGCTTCACTGTTGGAGGTAAATCAAAAATCACTTCTCCAAAATTCATTTTTATTTCTAGTCTGACGCGACACGGGCGCGTTTCGTAAAACTTATTACATTTTCAAAGACTTCACAAATACACAACTGATTAGAACTTGCGTTTCCCTGATTTTATATCTACATTTGAGTGAGGTGGGAAGGGTGATGTGGCATTACATTTGAGTAAGGTGGGAAGGATGATGTGGCATTAGAGGATATTAATAGGGTATTAAAAGTATCAACACAAGACAGAACACGAAACAATGGATATTGAATAGAAGTGTTTGTAGAAAGCCTATTGGTCCATATTTCTTGATGCTTCTATATTGGAGCGGAGTCTTGAGGTGGGTAGAATATAGTTGTGCAATAATTGGCTGTTGATTGCTGGTGTTGACTTCTTGATGTGTAGTGCCTCGCAAACGTCTAGCCGCCTGCTATCGCTGTATCTATCGATGATTTCTGTGTTGTTTACTAGGATTTCTCTGGCGATGGTTTGGTTATGGGAAGAGATTATATGTTCCTTAATGGAGCCCTGTTGTTTATGCATCGTTAAACGCCTAGAAAGAGATGTTGTTGTCTTGCCTATATACTGGGTTTTTTGGAGCTTACAGTCCCCAAGTGGGCATTTGAAGGCATAGACGACGTTAGTCTCTTTTAAAGCGTTCTGTTTCGTGTCTGGAGAGTTTCTCATGAGTAGGCTGGCCGTTTTTCTGGTTTTATAGTAAATCGTCAGTTGTATCCTCTGATTTTGTCTGTAGGGATAACGTTTCTATTAACAATATCTTTCAGGACCCTTTCCTCTGTTTTATGAGCTGTGGAAAAGAAGTTCCTGTAAAATAGTCTAATAGGGGGTATAGGTGTTGTGTTAGGGTATAGGTGTAATACCCCCTATTAGACTATTTTACAGGAACTTCTTTTCCACAGCTCATAAAACAGAGGAAAGGGTCCTGAAAGATATTGTTAATAGAAACGTTATCCCTACAGACAAAAATCAGAGGATACAACTGACGATTTACTATAAAACCAGAAAAACGGCCAGCCTACTCATGAGAAACTCTCCAGACACGAAACAGAACGCTTTAAAAGAGACTAACGTCGTCTATGCCTTCAAATGCCCACTTGGGGACTGTAAGCTCCAAAAAACCCAGTATATAGGCAAGACAACAACATCTCTTTCTAGGCGTTTAACGATGCATAAACAACAGGGCTCCATTAAGGAACATATAATCTCTTCCCATAACCAAACCATCGCCAGAGAAATCCTAGTAAACAACACAGAAATCATCGATAGATACAGCGATAGCAGGCGGCTAGACGTTTGCGAGGCACTACACATCAAGAAGTCAACACCAGCAATCAACAGCCAATTATTGCACAACTATATTCTACCCACCTCAAGACTCCGCTCCAATATAGAAGCATCAAGAAATATGGACCAATAGGCTTTCTACAAACACTTCTATTCAATATCCATTGTTTCGTGTTCTGTCTTGTGTTGATACTTTTAATACCCTATTAATATCCTCTAATGCCACATCATCCTTCCCACCTTACTCAAATGTAATGCCACATCACCCTTCCCACCTCACTCAAATGTAGATATAAAATCAGGGAAACGCAAGTTCTAATCAGTTGTGTATTTGTGAAGTCTTTGAAAATGTAATAAGTTTTACGAAACGCGCCCGTGTCGCGTCAGACTAGAAATAAAAATGAATTTTGGAGAAGTGATTTTTGATTTACCTCCAACAGTGAAGCATAATGTACGAAAGATTGAGAAAATTCGTGTTAGAATTATTAATCTTACTTTTTCGGTCATATTTAATAAAATATGTCTACAGGAAAGACTGCTACCAAAATATACTAATATATATATATATATATATATATATATATATATATATATATATATATATTATATATATATGTGCTGTCTGCTATATATGCTATATATATATGCTGTCCTCAGGGCTGTACACAACCATTTCCGTCCCCTTTACCCATTCATCCGATCGTGCTACAGTGGGGACTCTAAGCTTCTTTTTGGGGAGCATGAAATAAACTCCTGTGAAGGTGTCCAACAAAGTGACCCCTTAGCCCCTCTCCTTTTCTGCCTAGCTATCAAAGAGGTCACTGATAGTCTGACAAGCGAGCTAAACATCTGGTACCTGGATGATGGCACTCTAGCTGGAACTCCGGAAACCATTTTGGAGGATATAAGGAAAATCCAGGAGCAGGGAGCAGCCTTAGGCCTCATTCTCAATGCATCCAAATGTGAAATAATCTCCCGCAACCCAGACATCACTGGGCAAATACAAAATATTCTTCCAGACATTCTCGTTGTCGAGCCACCGGACTGCACTCTCCTGGGTGCCCCCATTGGCCCACAAGCAATCGAGGAGGTCCTGGCTGCAAAAATCACTGACCTAAAGAGAATGCTGGACAAGATTGACAAGATTGATGCCCATGATGCTCTCTTTCTCCTCGCAAGATGCCTGTCTCTCCGTAAGTTGACCTACTTCCTGAGATGTTCTCCATCCTACAGCAGCCCTAAGTTAAATGTGTATGACACCCTTCTGAGGTCCATGCTGGTGAAAGTCCTGAACCTGCCATTGGACGACTCTCAGTGGGAGCAAGCAACCCTTCCTGTAAGACTCGGCGGCCTTGGTGTCCGCACAGCCTCC